CCCGGGCCGGGGGGGCTGCGGCGTGTGCCCGAGCGGGGCAGGCGGTGCACTCCTGGCATAAGTGTAGCTCCAGCAGGACACGGTCACGGCTACAGAGGAAACTCAGGAGGGGATGGAAATTCAGAAGGGGAAATCAACTCACTGAATTCATGTGAAGGAGCTGAACTGAAATGGTAGCAAAGTCCTAACTAGCTCATTCTGAGAACTGCAGAATCATAAAATTTTAGGGGTTGGAATGGAGCTTACAGATCTAGTCCCAACTCCCCTGCCATGGGCAGGGACACCTCCCACCAGAGCAGGTTGCTCAAGGGCTCACCCAATCTGGCTTTGAACACTGCCAGGGCTGGGGCAGCCACTACCTGCCTGGGCAACCTGTGCCAGTGTCTCACCATCCTCACAGGGAAAAGGTTTTTCCTAATATTAGAGTAATAGAATTTTTAGGGGTTGGAACGGAGTAGTAAAAAACAAGAAGCAGCAGAGTTTCAGTACACAAAGTATCCTCAACACACCAATGATCTAGTAATATCTGACCCAACTGAGTTCACATCAAAGAAAGAAACGTGGCTTTGAATACTGTACTCGCTCTTTCATCTTTCTGGTAAAGACTTCAAAGTCAGTTAGTGCAACAAAGTAAGATAATAATTATACTCAGGGAATAAACAAAGATCTTTGTCCTCCACCCATGCAGTCAGTGTTACTACTGTTAGTACTGTAGTTACTATAGTAGTATTGCTAGTCACTCTGACCCATAACTTGTGTGGATTGATTCTCTGAGGCCAGACACAAAGGAGGCACAGTGCTGGTAATAACACTGTAGTAACAGCATAAAGCTGGCTCAGGGGCCCAGGAAGGTTTAAGCTGGAGGAGAGGAAGGGGCAGCACTTCAAGTCAGCACATACAACTCCAAACAGCACAGACAGGACCTGCAGGAGCTCCTGAACAAAAGGATTCTGCGACAGACCAGCTTTAAGCAGGAAGTGACATGGGGCTCAGGCCCTAATGCTGCAGCTTCTACTTCTGGAGATGAACCAAAGCTGGGCGACAGCTAAAGCAGCAGCAGAGCAAAACGAATGCAGAAAAGCTTTAATCTTACTAGCTGCCCACTGTTACAGTAATGCTACTGATTGTCCCTGAGAAGGAAGGGGATGTGAGATTTAATTCCAAACCACAAAAATGAGTCTAGACTAACACTGCAGCTAGTGGACTCTGGGCGTTTCAGTGTTGTTGGGGGGTTTTTGCACAGTGAAATGGATGTCTGTTTTCATCTGGACTGCAGGGATAACTTCAGCCTTTACAAGCACACCATGCAGAGATGAAGTGGATTCAGTGCTTCGTTGCTGGAGAGCAGTCAATCAGGATGAATCGCTGAACTCAAAAGGTAATAAAACATTTTATACCAGTGTAATGTCTGGATTTTTTTTTCTCCCGCAGATCCATCAGTTATCATCTTTACCTTTTAAGAAGAGAAATGCAAAATGCACTGAAATTCATTCACAGAAGTCACACAACTACCTAAGTAACACCAAGTGTAAACCTGAAAATAATGGGTTTTTTTCTTATCACAACAGTGAAAATTCTCTATTCACACTGAAGGACTGGTAAGTGCAGAAGCATTAGCTTCTAGCTGCAGTGACTTGGAAATAGGTTTCTAAAACACATTCCAGAAGGAAAAAATACACTTGAAACTCACTTTAGTATTTATACACGTATGTATTTCTCAGGCTACTAAAGAAGAGTGACAATTTGACTGTTAAAGTAAAACTCTTGCTGCACTCTCTAGCAGGGTGGAGTAAGAATCCAGGTTTATCACTGACACACTGTGTATCTGTGGTTCTCATAAACTAGTGTATAATCAGCATTTTGCACAGCTGTTTGTACTTACACTATGACTGAGTAACTACCTTTAAATACAACTCTTATAAAAAGGCAACACAAAAGTAGTAATCAGTTTATAAAAAATGCTGCTCCAAGGTTTCAGGTGTGCAGAGCTGTAAGTTTACTTCAGAATAAAACACAGACATTGGGGAGAATCAAAACTTTTAGAGTTGTACTTGACGATATATTTGAACAAAGCAGAATTACACTGCATATAACAAACAGTAAAATTTCTTAAAAGTTGTTACAAATATTTTACTTTCTACCTGTACGATCATTAACATAGTTTACTATATCAAGAATTTTTTCTAAAGGCTTGAAACAAAAACAATTCCTCTAAACTACTTTCCAACAGTAAAATTTAAGTAAAATGCTTACATTCATTTGACAACAAAAAAAACATATTAAAAATGTTGTGTGGGTGGTGCAAGAGCTGCTCTTTCAGCTACAACTTCCTTCCAGGGTTATTCCTGTGGAAAGAAAAAAACAAAACAGTCTTGTGAACTGTTAACAACCCAACTCTGAATGAAGTGATCCCCACATGCACCCACACGTTTACTCGATACATGGCGAAACAAACTGTCTGATCTGCAATACACTGAACAGTTTACCTTTTCCTCTTTGCGTCTGTCCTTTTCTTCATTATTCTCAATCGTTTCTTCTTCATCTTCCACAATTCCATCCCCTTGGTACTTGTCATGTGTCCACTTTGGACTGCTACCTGACTTTTTGAAGTTAAAACGGCCCCTGCCACGCTGGAAAGTACCGCGGCCTCTTCCTCTTTTGGCCCAATAATCCACACCATCGTCTCTGTCATCATGCTACAATAATACAAGACAAAGAGTAAGGTTAGAACACCTCTAAAATACACCCTCTCCTGTTAGCACTCTACATCACATGTAAAAAACCAATTAAATGTTTAAAAGTGTTTTTTCAGATCGTAATTTACAGAATCCATTATGAAGTAGATTCTTACAACTCATGATGCTCTAGCTAAAACCACAATAAGACAATTACTTTAAGAGCCCTTATTAGTCTGGGTCTCCTCAAATGTTTGTCGCTTATCTTCAGTCAGAATAAAGAATCACTAGTTTTGAGGGGGGAAAAATTGTTACTTTAAGAGAAGCAGCTGCAGGAATGTGCTAGGATTTGTTAAAATTATTTTTACTTCAGTGCAGAGAAAGTTCTTCATACTTATTAAGGAAAAGCAGTTTTCAGAAAATCTGCTTCACCTGCACAAGGCAGGGCAAATGAAGTTAAACTGTTTAAATCTGACATTAACAAAAACCAGCTGAGTTTCTCTGGTTAATAAGCCTAATGTTTGCTGTCTTGCTACCAAATACAGCTGGTAAGTTCTAAGAGTCATTCCATGCACTGCTTGAAAGCTGCAGAAAACTATTTAATATAAAAAGATTTATATTTAGAATGGTGAGGTACACTTGCTTCAACATCTGGGTTTTTTACTTGTGATTTGGAAAGAAATCTGGACTATTAAACGCATCACACCCACATCAAGCAGTTTATTATACAAAGAAAGGGTGGCTTTTTGATTATAAATGTTTTTAGTAATTCAAGTTTAACAGCTACAATTAACAGTTCTACTATCATAGAATTTCTCAATGACTAGATTATCACCTCTTTCTACATTTACAGATCAGAAAAGTTTATATATGTTAAGGCAGAGAATGCCTTGTACAAACATCCAAATTGTGTTTATTTCTTAGTTACTTGTTAATATATTTGTGACAAGCTATAATGCTGTAAGAAAAGGTCCAATCTTCACTACTTAGAATTTTTCAAGGGGGAAACAACAACCTTCAAAGTTTGCATTGTTAAGGGAATCAACTGGAGCAGAGGCCACGTGTTCAGTGTACTGCACTACTTAGGGTGTTACATCAACAGTCCTCCTTTCACTGCCCGGATGGGAAAAAGGCATCAAAACTACGGTGACTTTCTTACGACTATCACACTACTCAACTATGAGCAGAAAACTGCTCACAGCAGAGTCAGCCTACATCCACAAATACTGTCACCTTTTCCTGATGTTCCCTTTTTGCAGACTTCCAGACAACCCTAAGACAAAGCTTGAATGTCATACAGACATAAATCGAGGAAAACACAGCACAACTCTTTTTGGGTTAAAGTTTGATTTGAATAGTTTTTGTCTGAGCTTGTCTTTCTTCCCCACTCCCTGATGAAAGTTTTGGAGATAAATTCCATGTCAGGCCTCACTCACAGCCAGGCTGCTGCAGAAAGGTGTGAGAGCAGCAGAACCAGGCACGACAACCACCCTGCCCTCCTCGTGGTCTCTGAGGTCCCTGGCCATACATGCATGCTACTTCTACACTTGTAGAAAGTTTGAAAAAACAAAAGCATGCATAAGACACCGAGTTCTCCACACCCACCAAGAAGTATTTCTTGCTTTTTGGGGTATATTCAGGATCCCATTCCTCTTCCTTCGGTCTCTTCTGAAAAGTAGTATTTGAGTTGCTGGGACCAGTATTTGTTCCAGCAAAGACTCCTCTGGCTCTTCCTCTGCCCCTAATTCGAAACTGATTAACCAAGATGTCATTTAATCCGTTTACATAAAACCACAAAGAAGAGTTCAAGTTCTCTATTACTGAAAGTACTCTTTCTGTGCTTAATTACAGTACCTGCAAGTATAAAACCATTTTCAAATTCACATATTACCTTAAGTAATATATTCAAGCATTCACTTTGAAATAATGATTCTATTAATTTAAAGACATTTGAGTTCTTGGCATAAGTTCATCCACAACCACCAAAAAGAAATTTCCTTTGACTGCTGGTAAACCAGTGAGTTGCAACAAAAGGTCAGAAGGAGCTTCTGAGCTGTTCATAGACAAAAAACAAACAGGAAAACTAGACTGAAAGAGGGAGAAAACTGTCAAGGGGGAAAGAAAAGGTCATTCATGGAGTCAGTCATGTCAGTTATGAGAAACTATTTCTAGAACACACACTAACAATGCAGTTTTCAAAGTAGTATAGCCACTGTGTGTTAGTCCAACATTTTCAATTGAGATTCAAAAATGTATTTCAGGCCAGATTAAATCCCAAATGGGTAAATTCTTTACTCAGAAAAATATCACCAGTATGCACTGCACAGATCTGCAATGCTTAAAGCGCAAAATAGTGTCTTAAACATTCTTTATAAAGAATTAATGGGATCTTAAAATATTAGGCTAAAAAGTCTCATCAAAAAAACCACCTTTAACTCAGAATACACTAAGTAGTAACACATACAGTTCCCTCTGCATGTACCTATTTAGCTTGGAGAACACATTAAATGAGTTTATATCCTTCATTCAAGGGGAGAAGAAAGGTCAGGTTGGGACAATAAAGACTGCTAAAACCTGCAGTTACTACAGAACAGTTTTCATAAACAGCCTACTTTAAAAACACAGAACTGCATCTTCAGAGTAACACAACAAAAACATGACTGGAAATTAATTTCATTTGTTAGAAATGTTTGCTAAACATAAACAAAAAAGTTATATCATTAACTAACTTGAAAGAAAAGTATTATGCACACTTAGTCCCACAAAGCTCCAACACTTCTAATACAGAATTTATGCTGGACAGTTATAAAACTACTCTGACATTTTTGATTATTCTGTAAGCAAAAAACCCCAAAAATAACGGATTAGAGAGTCACTTGAAAAGTGAAACACTAAGTGTATAAGAGAGGAAATACTGCATGTTTGCTTTATTTCCAACAGCTTCACAAAACTAGGGCACAATAAACAGTATCCCAGCGGGGTGGGGGGAAAAGGATGTAGGGACAAAATTATGACAGGATTTAAAAAAAAAACAAAACAAAAAAAAAAAACACAAACAAAAAAAAAAAAAAAAAAAAACCTCCACAAGCTATCAGTGTTTCCTGGTATTAGGTCCTATGATCAGGTTACCTTTAAGAAAAATTATCTGGAGTTTTTCTCACCACTGTACTAACACTTCCCCCTATTAGGTCATCTTTCAGGTAAAGAACTACAGGAGGTGACATCCACTATGGTGTGACCTTTATGGGCTTGTTTACTACAAAGCCCACCACAAAAAAAGACAAGAGTACAATTTCTATATAAACCTCCTTTTAACCAGAATTCTTACACAAAGAATCCTTTCAGAGTGTCACTGAAAAATTCTACTTATCCTTATTTCTGTGTCTGTACTTCAGAACTATTCATGATGCTTATGTATGAGAAACCTAGAATTAAACAGAATCACTTATCAGCAAAAGTTAGTAAAAACTGTTGCTGATTTAACATGAAATTGACATCTTAGCTTACATTAGCTAGATAGATAGGAAAGATGTCATGTTCTCCAAGGCTTCAGTTAGGAGGAAGATCCACAACCAAAGCATTTTGTTTACTCCAAAAGCAAAGCCACTATTAGCCTGCATTTACAAACACATTCCTACACTGGCTGCTCTCTATTTCTCACTACTATTCAAAGCTGTATCCCTGAAGAGGAGATCTGAGTCAACAGGTTGGCTTGTTTAGATTTGCCTGTTCAGACAGTTTGTTCAGTAAGGCCACGTGTGTCCCTGTATGTTGTCAGGGAACATTAACCAGTTATTACTGCACAGTCAGAACTGGCAGTCAATAATTAAATTAGTAGAAGTCTACTAAATTTCCAATTCACATCTACCTACATTTCCTGCAAAGGAGCATCCCTTTCACAATACACACGATCTGGGTTTATAAAGCAGGAAGTCTTCATCCAATTATGAGTTTTCTTCCACTAATTCTCTTTGAGAGGAAATGGAGATTTAAGCTCTACTTTAGTTTAACTTCTATTTTGTTTGCGTCATTAGCTCACACAGCTAGAAATTGTGCTGATGGTCGTATTTGATGCCTACACCATCCCAGGATTTATATATTTATGCCACACAGATGTTCCTTAGCATAACTATATAAATTGATCAGACGAAAGGAGGAAATGATGCACTTTTAGTATCAGAAATTCAGAACTTCCAATTTTCTTCTACGTAGCTCCATTTTTTTAGCTGGAAGATTCAAACCTTAAAGTGCTGGCACACACCACATGCATTTCAGACACCCTTGTGTGTAGTTCAAAACTTATTTTATCGACTACGACAAACAGTTCAATGTAAATTTATTCTACACAATGCCTTTTAGCATTATTTAGTCTTAATTACAGGCTACCTGAAGGAATTACTGATAAAGTATGAAATTACTCCTCTCTTATTATGTAATTCTACTTGACAGTTTTTCCCCACCCACATGGGACATGCCCTTTTTTTTTGTTTGTTTCATTTTGGTCTGGGTTGTTGGTTGGGTTTTCTGCTGTGCTGCTGGGTTTTTTATTTTTGTTGTTTAGGGTTTTTTAAGTGCTCCTCATCTTTTCCAAGGTCTCCTTTATTGATTCATAATCTTTCCTAATGCTTCTACATTGCCAGTTAAATATCAGTAATTACATTAACATGGAATCCTGAAGTTATGAAGACTGTAGTGGTCAATGAGTCCCTTTCCAAATCACAATGCTTAAAACACATTCCAGAGGTAAATCAATGAGCTTTGATGCTCAGTGTGGTCAGTACAGGCCAAAAATAACAAGTATACCATCTCCTTTTCTCCATACAGCTGTTTCAAGGTTGATGCATGGTTTTAATTAAGTGCCATTCCCTACTGAACAAGTTGCAAGCATCAAACACAAAGGAGGGGAAAACCAAACTGAAAGTGACAGGGAAAAACAGAGGCTGCAGGAAGTCAAGAGGTAACAGATCACAAGATTTAAACTGTACAGAACACTAAATTTTCAGATTCTGTTAGGAAACAACATAATTAGAGAACAGCAAGGAACAGGCAGCACTATCCTAGGATCTCTAGTGACATGCTAATTCTCATTTACATGCTGCTATCGGGCAGTGCTGCAGGAAGCAGAACAGACTCAACATTTCAGGTTTGGTACATCACATCAAAGAATTCATGACTAAGTGTAGCCTAACTAATCACTGCAACACTTCCTCATTTTATTTGTTATACTATTACTGTTGAAGTGTTCAGAATTTGGGAGAACTGTAAGAAAGCAACTTACAAAGGTGCCTCTTGGCCTGTTGACTCCTGCAAAACCAGAGTATTCCTTCTGCTCATGGTGGGTTTTGAACTCTTCATCTCTTTCTTTCTTGCAATCCTTTTCTTCTCGAGAACTGGATGAGGAAGAAGATGGGGAGGAAGATGGGGAGGACCGAGCACGGTCTTGATCTCTTTTTTGTTTACTGAAAAATAAAAAAATATACTATGTGCTATTTTAAAAGTACTAGATAGTCTGTAACATGCTATACTAAACCGTGACTATTTTATGAAAAACTAACCCCCTTCTGGTTATAAAGTCACACGTTACATATTTCAGATGTTAAAGCAAAGTACAGTTCCACTTTCCAGCCTCCTCTTACACATTTAAGTGCACTAAAGCTATATTACTAGAAGTGAGTTGGAAAGCAGCAGTCTGCAAACTGCAAATACAGGTTTTCTAGATTGAGACACCATGAAGAGCTTCTGTTACTTTTAAGATCTGCCTTTCTTCTGAGGCAGAAAAATAGAAGGGAAGAAAACCCGCAAGGCAAAGTTTTACAGTACTTGACATAGTTCAGTTTGCACACTGTTGAGAAGATATGGTACGGGCTCCCCTACATAGATGGCTGTAGGGAATTAGCCAGGGGAAGAAAATGTGGATACCAGAGTCAAAGTAAATGGGAACAGGAAGCATAAGTAAAAAGTCATGGTATATACAGTACAGAGAAGGGAGAAAAAAATTCTATAGCAAGACTTTTAGCAACCCCATAGTGGTATTAATTTGACCCAATTTATAGGATTTTAATACTCTACTCAAAAGAAAGGTCATACCTGAAGTAACTCTTACCACTCCTACACAGTATCCACTGAGATATGCTAACATTCTTTTCTTACAAACAGCCCACTGGCTTTAGACAAAAATAAAAATTCCCCTTCTCACCCATGTTAAAACCTAAGTATCAGTAAAATTCTCATACTCTGGGTGTTATGAGTTGAAAAAGTGCGAATCAAGCATAACGAGCCAAAGTTCTTACACAAACTGTTTATAGAAATGTACTGCATTGAAGTCCAACCTCCTGATGTAGCCTGGATAATAGGACAGATTAATTTGTCATTTTTTTTTTCAGTGTTAGCTTGCTATTCCAAAGTTTTTGTCCTCATCCACCATAAGCCGTGTAAAAGACAGATAATACATATTTGCTGTAAAACAAATAATTTTAATTGTTTAAAATTAAATGTTCCATCATACATTGAAAATTGAAAGCAATTAAGCTTACAATTACAAAAGGCTAATCAGAAGCTAAAAACTATATAGGGGCTTCAAATATTTACCTGTCATCTTTGTAAGATTTGTAATCCTTGTAATCTTTTGGAGTTTTCTCCTGCTTTCTTGACCCACTGGATTCCCTGGAACCCTTTGAGTCTCCTCGCTCTTTACTTCGCTCTTTTCTCCGTCGGTCAATGTCATGTCGAAGATCAGCAGAATCACATCTTAATTTTTTATCTCCCTGTAAGCAAATACATATTTTGGAACAAAATTTTGAAAGAAAGCATGCAGAAGAGAATCTGAGCGAAAAGGCAATTCATGTATCAATTTTCAAAAAAGTGAGGTAGAATTTACCTATTTTTCAATAAACTCTTCAGCAGACAAACTGACTTGCAACGTCTGCTGACTGCAATTTAGATGCAATGACTACATCTAAAAAAGAACTAAGAATTTCAGTTTCAAACACACATTCTCACCAAGCCAATGGGATCTCATTTTTTATGCATACAGACCATAATACACCATTTGGGGATATATATAAGTACTCATTTCTTCTGGTGAATTGTTTTCAAACAGAGCACAAGCACCCCTGCAATTCAGCCACACTACTCACTGATCATCTTGGTACTTCCCCCTGCCCCAGCACCTAATTCTTTGTCCTTGGGGACCTCAGTGGACAAGAAACATGCAAGAAGAAAGGAAGCATGGGAGAAGACTTGACCTTATGTGCCGTGTTATCAGTATCACAAAGTCATGCTACATAAAGTAGCTTCTTAATAACATGTTTTACTCAAAGGAAAAAAAAAATTTTAACACAAGTACACCAGATACAATAAAGGCAAATTATTTTTGTCTTTTTATACACAAACACAGAGATAAAGTTCAGATTTAAAGGGAAACAATTAAGTTTAGAAGCAGAGATAGGATGTTTACTTAGAACCTACTTTCTGACTTTCTTCTTTAAAGACTCTCTCTTCACCTGCTAAACGGGTATGCTTCCTCAGGGTACTTGGAGAGATGTCAATCCTCCTAAATGGAAAATAAAAGCAGCATCTTGCCATACATGTATCTGACTGTCCAAGGCCTCAGTCATTTCTTTTCAACTGCTAAATGCTGCCCTTTTGCAGTAGCACAAACTTATTGCATAGAAAGCTCCACTATCAGAATACAGAAGCAGACTAAACATTGAAAACCTTGATTCTGTTCTGTGTAAAGTACACTAGAAACACAAATACCAAAACCAGGCAGATTGGTGTTTCACATTTTAAGTACAGTTTTGAAGATACAAAAAATGCTCAACGATTTATTTCAAAAGCATCAGTATATGTAGCCAGCTGAATACCCACCCTCTCCACCAAATCATCGACACTATGACAGCTAGCTGTAAAGTTAAAAGTACTTAACAGTTAAGAAAATGTGTAGAGCTGGACACTGTATCCTCACATGCAACACAAATATAGTACACTGCATCATAGAACTATAGCACAGGATCAGACACTACATCTGCATGCCTACCTTCTTACCTTTTAGGCTCTCAGAATTTTCAAAAAACTGCTGTAAATTAACACACACAAAAACTAAAGTAGTATGAGATGGAACATTTCACACTGAAGAAGAAAGATGCATGTACAGGGCTTCCTTTCATCTTCAAGACATATGCCCCTCAATATTTGAGCACTGCATGTGAGAAAAGTAAATATATCCCAAATGAGATACAGAGGTAGAGAAGACATCTGTTACAAAACCACAGATGAAGCCAGACTTGACTCAGATGAGTTCTCTTTTACAGAAGGTTTGTTTTGGTATTTTGTAATTACATAAAAATTGACAAATTACTCCATACGGATTAGAGAAAATATTTTGGGTTCTCAAAAGAAATACTAGCAGACATTATTTGAAACACAAAGCATCTGCATACGCAGTTAGCATATACCTATGTATTTCTGGACTCTTTTGTCGGGTGCAGTGTTCTTCAGTGGCTTTTTGATACGCAGTGAACCTCTCATTTAGGGTCATTCCAGCTGACTTGAAGTATTGCTCTGTTGGTTACAATAGAAAAAACCCCACTGTTTCATTAGTTTAATTCAACTGACAGGTACTTTACTCCTGACAGAAAGGCAAGTAGCAGGCAAAAAACATAGTACTTCCAATAAATTTATCAGGACAAGCAAATGTGGTGTTTTTGCTACTTTTACTCATTCTGTCACTCAAACAAAGTAACAGTGCACAGCATCACTGCAGCTCTACTTACAACTATGCCATGACTGTATTACACCTAATTCAAGCATTGTTTACTGATTAGACTTGTTCATTTTCAATGAGATTTTCCTCTACTTAAAGAGAGGGAGCAATTTCTGAAACAGTTATTTTATATTTTGCCCACAAGAGAAAGTGAAGTTACTTTGAGTCATGAGTATTTGTAGGAAATACATTTTACCACTCATCTCATCTTTAGCTTAAAATAAGAGTTAATTTATAGAAAACATTTAGTTAGGTATGTTTCAATAACTAATAACTAACAAGTCTGTTCTTAAAGGAACACAATTTCTTGATTGGAAGTTGTGATGATAAACGATCCAAGACAATTAACACACCTATAGGTAAATAAATTCCTTTAAGCATCTGGCATCTTGGCAAACCTGACAACTCCTCTGACACATTTTCTCCTTCCTTCAGAGACAGTTAAATTAGCAACAGCAAAACTCAAGTTTTTAAACCAGCTCAACAAATGTGTTTAAATGTAATATAGAAATACATAAAGTCATGAGCTATGAAATGTTACATATGAAGCAAGCTATCTGCTTAACAGGTCAACATACATCTGTATCAACTTACCGCCCGGCATCCAGCATTTGTCTCATAACCAACCATTAAAACTTGAAACGGCCACTACAAGGGTAGTGCCTCAATCATAATTCCATCAAACACAGGAATTTGAGCTAGCAACTCTGTTTTTATGCCATTTTTGCCAGGAAGACAGAAGGTTCAACTTTGCCTGTTTGGCATCTGTATCTTTCAACAGCTATTTTACTTTTGTAACATGGGTTTTGCCATTTCAAAACACATTCCAGGACCTAGTTATAATGAAAAAGAAAACATCACTGGGCATTTTCAGCTCTACATTAATAAAGAGCTGTTCAGACTGGTCGCATCACACCAATAACGAACACAACTTCAGTTTGACAAAAGAGTTACTAAAAACCTGATCACAGACCACAGTAAATCCAAAACTTAAAGATATGTTCTGCTTTCAAAAGTAACTATAACTGTACATATTCTAATAACGTGACCAGATAAACTGTTCAGCTCTTATATTTACCATATATTTAACACACAAAAATTTACAGAAAAATTCTATTCTGTGATCAACATGTGAGAGTTTCAGAAGTATTATTTTCACCTACAGCTACATATGTAATATATAAGCAAAAACTTAAAAGAAGCTCTCACTGGACTGAGCCTTAAATTTCTTTACACATCAATAAAACAGATACTTTCACACAACAAATCATAATACTCTAAACACGTGTCCCAATAATTTTTTTTCATCTAATACATTCACATAAACCATTATTGACTATTACTTTCTTCTTTATAAGTAAATCAAAATGCAGGGAATCATTTGATCTTAAGCAATCTAAATTTTGCCAACAAAATGAAATTTTCAACTAAACATTAGCACATATTCCTAGCAAGCAAATCTTTGCAGATTTGGAAGCTAACACGTTTTAAATGCTTACAGACAGATTCATTGAAACTGGTCACCTAATTAAGCATTTCCACATTCCCCTTCTGCATGATGATACAGCAAAATTACTTTCTCCAGCTCCATATCATCTGTTACATTTAATGCAAGGACAAGACAACAGCCCAGTGAAATAAAGCAAATGCTATCGAAAAGAGCATTTAAAGAACTCTCCAGACATCCTCGCTAGATTTTAAGGAATTATCTATTATCCCACCAAAAAGTTCTGAGAAGATAAATGACCTAAGTGAAATATATCTACCTTGATGGTCTAGGTTTGTGTTTCAGTGGGGTTGTTGTTTGGGTGTTTATAGTAAACAGTTATTACTGTTCAATCAGAAAATAATTAGCGTGCAATTCATTTAATGGAGGTTTAATTAGCTACTGCCAAGTTCCTGTAAGTGAAATTCCTGGCATTACTGTCCAATAGCAATAAAATGAAATATCATCATGTATTTTAGCATCATTTAGAACACAATTTATCCTACATTTATTGAGACAAAAAAAAACCCTTCTTACTAGAACCTGAAAATAACCTTCAGGGTGCTCCAGAGGAAGAATACTCTTGTATTTAGAGTGCAAAAGACATCTGTCAACCCACACTGCACTACTTAATATAAAGCTGTATGTTAAGAATCATTAAGATGAAATTAAATAAGAAAATCTGACCAATGTCGTATGTTTAAACTACACGGCAAAATTTCAAACTTTGCATGCTACTCAGGCTCAAAAATTTATCCAGAAACATGGTGTAACTGCTGTTAATACTCTACACTGCTGGAGGGTTTTTTTATGCTAGTATCTGTGGCCATTGTTTTTCTAATTATTTTTATGCATACCTCAACATTAAAAGAGGGCTTAAATCTTCCTCTACTAGAAACAGCAAATAGGCTTAAAAGAAGTTGTCAGATGTGTAGTCAGTACAGTAAACAAATTACATACCTTTGACATGATGAACCAAGGACACAATGTGCTGAATAAATGACTCTGACGTGCTTTTGCTGGCCTGTGGCAACTTAATGTGGTCAAAGATGGATCGGAACTCTTGCTCCTTCTTGACGGAATGGACAAGGGTGCTAGCAAGCAGCCTGTCTTTAGTCAAGGAAGCAGGTCTAAAGTGCATCAACAACAAAGAAGAAACACACAAAAAGAAACCACTAGTTTAAATACAGACGAACAACACTGCAGGCAGGTGGAGAACCACACTGAAAAGTGGAATCATTTACCTATTGGAATCATCAAGAGGTACTGGTGCCATTTTGAGTTTAACTTCAGGACGATGGGAGTCACTGGCTATCATTTTGATCCTAAGTGGGCTCTCCTCTCTGAAGGTGGATTTTTCTCTCGCATCCAGATTCTTGTGTAGAGGGGGACTGTAATCAAAGAGTTCTTTGAGCTTTTCAGACTTTACCTGCTCAGGTGACTGAGTTTCTTTCTTCATCATTAGTCTCTCAGAACTCTTGTCTTCTTCCTTGTGCTTATCTTTTGTTGCACTAGGCCTTTCCACTACATAGCCAGTCTCTTTAAGCTTATAACTTTTCTCATCTCTAAATCCATCGCTCTCTCTATTGCCCTTGATTGATACTTTAGATTTGTATTTGGTTCCTTCCTCCTCAGCATTCCGGTGAGATGCAGTAGGAAAGTTTTTACCCTGATCTGCCAGGACAGACTTTCTGAACTGTCTGTAATCCTCTGTCTCCTCTGTGTCCTCCCCTTCAGAGTCATTAAACTTTTCTTTCCCAGTCTCTTTATCAATGAAAAAATCTAAAGTTTCCTGTTCCTCCCATTCCCTTTCTCCCTCTGTCCTCCCTTTCTCTGATCCTCTCTCCTTCTGGGCCTCCTTCTCCCTGGTATTACCCCTATCAAGCAGGTATACTCTAGACTCTTCATCTGTGTACCTGTGGATAGCAAAGAAGAGACTGGTAACTCTGGATTGCATTCATTCCAGTTCACTTGCATTCCTCTTTCGTGCCAATCCCACACCAAGAAGAAGATGAAAACACATTCCTCCAAGCAATTAACTTTAGCATGCAACTTAACACTGTGTCCACTGTCATTGATGTACTACTGTAGGCACGTGAAGGACATAATGCCTTTCTGCAGAACACCTAGGAATTCTCTGTCAGAGTTTATAAGCAAGCTACTGGCTTGTTCAGTTTTTTCTTAATCAGTACTCAGTTTCACATTCTCACACCCTTGTCATTTTTATCCACAAATTTCACAGGAAGTTTGAGAGCTCAGACTGCAATTCATTTTTGTACTACTTCTACTGAGTAAGTGAAAGGAGTACCATAAAAATCTGAATGATACTGCACATTACTAAGAGAATTCCAAAACCTGACACAGGCTTAGTGCATTCACTGTACTGTGTCCAAGCAGAGAACCTGTAGCAGGCAGCTCTCCTGAACACACACACACACTTACCAATGCATCATTTCAGCCACTGCCTTATCTATACACTATTTTCATGTAGGTTCTAATACGTTTGCCAACTCCAATACATCTAACACAAGAGAATTCTTATCTTTGATCTTCTAAGCAGTAATTTTTTTGCATAATAAATCACTGACTGGACAAGTTAATTTAAAAGACTAAAATCAACCCTATACAGCACAGTCACAACACTGATCTGTAACTCATAAGAAATCCACTTAAGTATCAGTCACTTCATAAAGGAACAGTCTAATTTCACTAAGATTTTTACAACTTTAAAAAATTACTACTATAGCAAACATTTTAAGGACTAACAGAAGAATTTTACATTCATTGGAAAACATACATTAAGTTTCCTTCACATCAACAGAATTACGTTCCGAGAACACCAAGACCTACCCTCTTTGGTAAGAGATGCAAGACAAGACACCAATTGTGCACCACACAATTAGCAATTGATGCTGTTTGTGTTAACGTAAAGGAATCATTGCACAGCATTGGCATTTGTAGAGTTCCAGCAGACCTGCATTTCAAACTACAGGAGGCATTAACCTTCTGAAACATCCGAACAGAACTGTATCAAACAAGCTGCTCTGATGCACTACTCCAATTAAGATTTTTACTTTAGAGTAAAAAATGGAGTACAGGAAAATACACCATAAAAGCAAAGCACAAACCAATTTTTCCTCAAGGACACATGTCCCTATCTCCACTAGCCAACCGTCAAAACCTCAAAGCATCTTAGCAGGAAAAGGCATATATATGTTTCAAGCTCAATTCCAACCGGACTGACATTACTACTACTTATTCCATAGTGTTCCATATTGCAATTTCCAGGGCACAGTGATGATCCTGTCAAAACCCTTTAAGAGACAGAATTTTAAGAGGCAGCATTTGGCTTGTAAGTTCTTACCTTTTCATAAACTTTCCCCCTTTTGCAGTCTCCTGTTCGCCACCCTCAGGATAAAACGACCGCACTCGAGTCTCCTCGCGGGGGGCGCTCTGTGATGGGATTGTCTTTGGAGGGCTTCTCCTCGAGGGGAGGTGATGCAATGGGCTATTCTGAGAAGGACTATAACGGCTAGAACCATTTCCAAGAGAACCAGAGCCAGACCTCTCAGGACTATGCTGAATGGAATGGGAATGTTGAGGTGTGTCCTTTGCTGAGTGAGCTGTGCTAAGCAAAGGGGCATCAGAGCAAGAAGAACTCTGACTAGGTGGGGTGGCAATAGAAGGACTATGGGGTGACCTTGGACTGTTATCATATGCTGAAAGGCCAGGCCAAATGTCGCCAGAAGCTGCTGATGATTTGTTAAAATCGTCAAGAGACTCTGATGGGTCATGTTCAAATGTATCTTTCTGTTCATCTTGTGATTTATTTTTCAAGGGGCTGTCTTGCAAAGGAGCCCCTTCAGTTTTCTTTGCCTGCTTTTCCAGAGACGCACGTCTTTTGGAAGAGACAGGGGATTTGCTGTATGGGGATGAAGAACGAGACGAAGAGGACCTCGGGGACCTGGAAGATCTGTAAGATCGACGAGATCTGCTCCGGGACCTCTGGGAAGACACAGACCTTCGTTTTGGACTTCTGGAACGTGATCGGCCACGCCTGGGGCTTCTGGAGTGTCTTCGGTTCCAGACGGGCCTATAACCTCCACGATGGTATCTACCACCTCCTCCTTGATAATATCCTCTACCTCTTCCTCTGTAACCATAGGGACGTCTCATTCCTCTATTATTCCTGTAATCTCTGCGATAATCTCTAGAATAAACACGATCCCTGCTGCGAGATCGTGAGTATGTCCTTGACCGAGACCTGGAACTAAAATTAAAAAGCAAACATTAACACTTGGCAACTGGAGAATCAAAAAAACCACAAACAGCCTTGACATTAATTGCTGCATTTCTCAAATGCAGTCAGGAGGGTAAAGGATGCAGACAATGGTCTTAAAGGAACTTTCACAATCTGTATTTATTATTTCTGTAATATATTATTACATTTCTGTAATGTATTTAGTACAATAAACATATCTACACTCCTAAGACCTGTGAAACTTGGCATTGCATGATTAAGACATTACCAGCCTCAGCAGCTTGCCCTGCCATTTCATTAGAGATTATCACCACTCTGGAGCATGGCATTCAGTTTCACAGCCACCACAGTTCACAGCCTGGAACATGAAGTTACAGGACCTCCAGCATAATGCCAGCCTGTGGGCAGCAGCTGATGAGGCAGTAAACACTCAGTTGAGCCACTTCTTTTATGGGAGATGGCAATGTCCACCAGTAAGAAAGATGAGGAAAAGGCTGAAGGCAACTGAGAAGACAAGACACAGCAAAGCTTATCTACTGAAGCCTGAAGTTACTTCAGATATGAAAAGTTGAATGAGAAATACAGAACAAATTACAGGGAAAGACACTGGACAAAGAAAACGTCATGTGAAGGGGTAGGGAAGAATCAAGAGGGCCACAAATCATTAGCACACTGAAATTATCTTAAGATACAGGAAAAGAGAAAAAGCAGCTAAGTATTAAACAAAGTACAAGTAATTACATTTAAAGCATAGTTTACCTACTGCCTAAAATGAACTAAGATCCCAGTCTCACTTTTACCACAGCATCATCCAAGTAAAATGTTTTCCAGACAAAACCTAATATACTAGACTACATTTTCACACAGTAAGACATCAATTTACCTGTATCTCTTTTTTCTCGAATGTGATCTGGATCTTGACCTAGAGCTGGACTGAGATCTGGACTTTGATCTTGAAGAATGTGATCTAGAGTTAGATCGACCCATTTTTTCCAGTAGATATACTCCTTCCCAAAAGGAAAAGCAATGAGGAGCGGCAGGGAAAAAAAGAAGCGACTATTTAGAGTCCATGTAAATCATATAAATGAACAGAATTTGTATATGCCAAAATGGCAGTTTTAGATTGAAACACAGCATTCACTAAACCAAAGAACACTGGAGACGATATGAGTACACTGATTAGTAAATTAAAAGCTCAACCACATTTTGAAGAATTTAACATAGCTGAAGTGCACACACTGAAAAGATAAAGTGTAACTGTAAGGGGTTTTCCAGATTTAACCGCAAGTTGATCCTCTAGGAGAGAGGAGGCAACAGAAGAAACACATTTCTGCAAATTAAGACACAAAACAATGTAAGTCTCCACATTTTAATATATTTTAAACAAAATTCTTGCTATTGTGTGGCTTATAGTTTCCTCACATTTTCAATGCACTGTTCTTCTCTGGCAGGAGTTCACAGACCTCTACAATGTCCCTTTTACATAAGCAAAGAAAAAGCCCTGGAGTGTTCTGTCCAGCAGATGCTGGTTTGAGCCACAGGTATTATTTCTCTTAACCACAGGTATTAAAGCTAATCACTCTGATCTGATTTTCCACTGGTCAAGATTCCCACTCTGCACCTTTTTAGGTTAACTTTGCTTTTTAATGTACACACACAATGCATGGTCAACTTACATCATCATTTTAACAACTAGTTAAAACTTAACTTTAACCACTGGTAAATTAATAAGGCTTGCAACAAAATTCAACATGTTTCAGCACAAATGAAGCTATGAAAACTACAACTGATTACAAAACGAGACCTAAATAAAAATAAATCATAATAAAATATCACTTCTTATCACAATCATAATAAATATTTTAGTTAGTGCTGACCATAAAAAATACACACCTTTTCCTTTTCTTTTCAGATCAGTGGCTAAAAATCCCCAATTTAATTACTAAACATTCTGACCCATTACCATTTTCTTTTGAAACTGCCCAGCTTTAAAAAAAAACAAAACCAAACAAAAACAAGGGTCACATTAGACAACCTGAATATAAACTGTGAACAAGTAACTACACATTTTCAGGCCTTTGCTCAGTATCTATAATCATCATTGTTTAATAAGAATTAAAACAGAAATGGAAAAAAAAAATTTAGCTTTTGAATTGCAAACAAGCTTGAAAGCCTAAAATTATTAAAAAGACAAGCTCAACACAAGTAGCACCTTCTATCACAAGCTACTTTACATAATCTTTCTTGTTACCTGGGTGACTTTTCAATTACATAAAGAAAAAAAACAACATTAGAATTGAAATTAAACTTAACAAAATTTCAGAAATTTTAGGCACAAAGCCCCAAAGAAAAAAGCAGACTAACCTTTCCCCTAACAACTGGTTCCTCCTGCCCCACATGACTTTTCCTACCACAATAGCACAAGAGTGTGCATGGCCCGAGATGTAACCTCATCTGAACCCAACCCAGCAAAAACTTTAAACTTAAACTAGCTTTCCATGTAACTAAAAAACCCTATTTACCTTGAAGAAGAATATGTTGAGTGCTGTCTTTTACTGGCTCCTTCCATTAAAAAGCAAATTTGCATAACCTATACTCAGAAGATGTTTTCTAATTCATTATGTTCAATTAAATTCAGAGAAAATGGCCTATAATCCCTTAGGTTCAATACCCACAGGAAACATAAATTTAGAGTTTTAAAACTCTCTTAAGACAAAGTATGTCAATTTTCCAAGAGTGACAGGAAATGAAACCTCTGGGTTTCTTTCTACAAGTAACTTTCAAAGCAATCTTCAGATGCACAGTGTTTGTATATAACCCAACCGCAGCTTTAGATTTATTATTTTCCCAGTGTTCAACAATAACATATGTACATCTGCACTTTATGTATGACAAGTACAGCTGATCTTTACAAGAGATACACTAATTTCAGAAAGTTTATATATTGTAAGCATTAATTTTAGGAAAACAAAATCAATTTTAATTTTCAATAGCTAGGTTCAATCAGAACACTTAAAAATAGAATTAAGTTATTCTTACCTCAAACTCGTAGTTGGTGCCAATGAAGCAATTATTTCAAAACTCTCTATTTGTGCTTTCAGCAATACTGAACCCTATAGAACAGAAAATGAGACTGTCAGAGACATTAACATTTACTACAAGGCAGGTAATACCTTTTGCTTCAAGAGGTTCAAACATGAATCTGTTTATCATGAAAAGACAACACACAAGAAACAGCAATTTTTCTCCTGGACTCAGTGAAGCTGCATGCTAAGACAGGGACAGCTCAAGAGGCAGTCACTGCTAAGGCCTACTCCTCTTCCACACATGAGCACTCCTCCTTCAGCCTTGCTTACAGGGCTGTGTACTGCATCATCCTCACCTTCAAAACAGCCCTGACATCCTTCAGGCCCTTCAGTGACCAATCTTTTCATAACCAGACAGCACTTTCCCATCACTCAGTTATCCAAGTGGCTGAATGAAGGGCCAAACTGAGCTAGGTTATGGGGTAAATAAAAGCATGCAGCCAGAAAGAAAGGGGCAAAAAGGTCAGTGGCAAACTGCTAGACCCGTTTGAACTCTAACACACAGCTCTGCACTTCACTGGAGCTATCTTACTGGAAAAAAAATAAACCGGGATGAGAACTCCCAGAAATTCTGCATCTCAATAACGTATTCATTAATCCAAAGGCATAAGACATCCACTGCTCCTAAATGACACTTGCACACTTGTTCACAAATGTTTTCTTCCTCTAAAAGAAACGTCCCACTTGTGTTCATAAAACACTGCTTTCAAAAGTCCACTTACCATTCACTAGTAGTGACCAAGATATTTCCAATTTCTACAAAACATATGCCTTATTAAGATTAAGTTTTTACTTCTCATCATCAGCAAGCATGAGTCTCTGAAGGAGCACAGTGGTGTATCGCACCATTTCAGATTTTGTCTAGACAAAAGGCGAGATGGTATTAGCTAGTAAAGGTTAACGAAGGCATTCAGAACTCTAGTACAGAAAAAGTAATACAAACTTCAAGTTCAGTCCAAGACTTTACATTAATACTTAAATGATCTGTATTTCTGACTTAAACTGGTGTTAGCTGAAATCCAAAATCCTAATTTAGACAAGTCTTTAGATCCTGGGGATACAGAACAAGATAGTTACTTCACCTTTAAAACCACTAGGCAGCAGACAAGATCTTACAATACCATAACTCAAACTGGTAGTCAGTCCCACAGAGTTCCTAGAATCTTTGCTAGCAACTGGCAAAGGTGAAAAGTAGCCACATTTTTGTATTTTTTTAACTAGGCATTGGCTATCCCACACCCAATCACAGCAGCTAAAATGTATTTGCTAACCTCCTTCCTAATTTTTATTTTATTTTTAAGAGTATGGATATAACATTTTAATGAAACAGAGCTTAAAATAGAAAACCTTAACTAATGAATAAAAATCACTCAACTATTTGCAGCTTTTGCTTCCAAATAACCGCAATAGGTAAAACCTTGACACGCAAGACCCACTTATCCCAACAATGCTCACACTCAGAAACAACAATGAAAAGACTAATAGCTGTGTGCTTTAGTCTGTGTAAATGTTCTCAGAATATGCAAGAATCTAGAATTTTATAAACCTCTACTAAAGCTTATTTAGGAAAGCACAGTGTAGATAAAAGAATACACATAACACCTCCCTTATAACTCAAAGTTTCTACATGCTGCACACTTGCACAGAAAAAGTACAAAGCATCACAACTACAACACGCTGTTTCACAGCAACAAATAAAATCACCCACAGCCTCTTCCTGCAGCATCTCGTGCTCACTGTCAGTCTCTAGTGGCTGCACTATGTCAAGTAAGGGCACGAGTGGTAAAGGGCAATGAACAAAAGGTTCCCCACGCTGCTACACATCATCATCGGTCACTAATCAAAGAAGCCCCTATCACCTGAATGAAGCTTCCCTCTGACCAGCCTCAGGAGAGACGCAGAGGCTGCCCTAGGTGTGCATTAACATTGTGACACAAGATGTCATCACTAACACTCAGCATTTCCCAGCGAGGACCATAACTGCTAGGATCGTGGTCTATGCCTAAAACACCAGGACTGTAACCCACACAATTCTTGCAAGTCAAGCTTCTTTTTCCCTTTCTTTCTACCCTCAGTAGCCGAAAGTAGATGCCTGGCTCTCAACCATTTCATTCCTCTGTTAAAAACTTTGGATCTTATAAAGCAAGCTGCTGTAGAATAGGCTGGCCCTGCTAGTTTAAAGAAACATTCTCATCCCTCCTATCCTGTTTCCTCACATTCCTGATGATCTCCCTTATGCCAGTGCAAATATTTCTGCATGCACATACTGGATTACTTTCAATACAAATTATTTTTTCCGATATGGTTCATTACACAGCCCCACAAACAGTTGGGCCAACGCAGGGAAGTTGAAACAGCAGCCAGACAGGACTGCTTCTTTTGGCAGCACCACAACCTTCTTTAAGCTTCCCTGGAACTAGCCTGGCAAAGCCTTCCACGGCAACAAAATTGGTATTTAAGCTTTTTAACAGTACTTGCAAGCAGCTTAAAAAAAAAAGAAAAAGAAAAAGAAAACCCACCGAAGCCAAAAAACACAACCCTCGAAAAAATACCACCAAAATAAAAACACACACACAAAAAACCTTAAAACATTCAAAACCAAACACAGAAACCACAACTTTTTTAAAAATTGGCTACTCCACCACCTGTCAGATATTGAATCACATTCAAGAACAAAGAGTTTCTTAATGAACAAAGTTTCTTAATGAAATAACAACAGGATCTTTGAGTGTCTTAAACCAGTCTAGGTCAGCAAGTGTGACCATCAAGCAAAAACACGGTATACAATAGAACTGGGCTTATCCCACCACAAGCAACACAATAACAAGGAAGTAAATAATACTGTTCGCATTTGCTATGTTTAATAAAAACACAAAAGGACAAGGAAAACGGCTTCCAATTCCTTTTCAACACTATTTTTAAGTCTTTACTACACCACTGAGGTTAATGCTTTCTCAGCGTACATAGACTGTAGATACAACACACTGCTGAAGCCATTTAACAAGTTATACACCACACAAGTTTAAGTCATTTTAGGACAGTTATACACACACTAGCAAAACTCCTTCCTCTTAGCTTCATTATTTTAGCTATCCTCCATTTGTATTTCTTTAATAGTCTGTATTTCTCTTAAGCATTACTTGAGAGCTGTCCGAAGATTTAAATCAAAATCTTGAAGTAACTCACAAGCTGTTGCCAAAATGCATTTTCATTCAGAGATTCAGGCTTCACAAGACATGCGGATTATACAATCATGACAAAACAAAAGGGGATAGGACAGTCTCCGAGAAATCCCACGGAACTTGTATTCTCTCAAAATACATATACCGAATTAATGAAAATCAGTCTTAATGAGACAGCACTCATCCACTGGTAAGTCATCCATTCAGTGCCTGCACATCTGCCATCATTTCTTATCCACTTCTTGTCTCCCCCTCCTTTCATTTTTCATGTTCACAATCGTAGCAGTAGCACAGCACAAGTAATAACAGAATGCATTTCACAGGGGCTGCAAACCCATGCTGCTCGGATCATCGACGATTTAGAACCCTAAAAATACCAACATTCCATGGGAAATTTGCTCAGGCTACCTTGGAATGTACAAGTAAGAGCTGGGAAGCACTATTTTCCCTGTTTATATGCTGGAAATATAACATAAACAGTAAAACACACAAAAGCCTTTCCTTCTCCTTCAAATCCTTAATTTCTTGAGAGAAAACAGTACAAAATCTTTGTAAATTAAGCCCAAAACTAGCGTCCTAGCAAGAGCAAAATCACCTCTGCAAAACCATCATATGATTGTTAGCTGTTCTTTTATGTAATACTGTTGGCAAACAAAAGCATGTTTCTCCTCTAACTGAAAAAAACACAGAAAGCAAAGCGACTATTTCTAAAAAATCTGTCAATACCTGTAAAGGAATTAGCATGTTTTTCGACACGTGGGTTTGGAGAGCCTTTCTGGTTATTTTTGAGTGCTTTATGCACTGTGTTTTCATATGCCCTGACACAGTGGTTTCTGTGATTTAGCTAGGAGCATGCTGCTGCAGGAAAGGCAACATCCCTCCCTCGTTTGTACTCATAGGTGCTTGGTGAGCTGCAACAGTGAACTTCTCCAGAAGAAAACTACTCTGGGTAAAAGCTGACTTTTCAGGCTCATCAGCTCCCAGATCCCATTTGCCACCAGGCTGCATGAAGGCCAGGGGCAGCACAATGCACAAGGCAGCAATGCACTCTTTCTAAGCAGCTCTCACAGATAAACAGAGAAACAGAACACAATAACACAACAACTTACTTTCTCTAGTGGTTTCCTTCACCTGTTCTCCACTACCTGTAAACACACCCCAATGTGTTTACACTGGCATTCCCCAATCTCCCACACCACTATCTCTCCTTGACAACCAGCCCGAATATAACCCACCCAAATACCTGCACCCCAGCTCCAAACGCTCCCTGCTTATCTCTTCTAAATTTCTACAACCACTCCAAGTTTTCTGCATCCCCAGTGGCAACAGGCCCTTCTCTATGGTTCGTGCTCCTCCCTACTTCCTCCTTCCCCAAAGATTCCCTCAGCCGCAGCCTTCACCCGAGCAACCGCTCCACACACACCAAAGCCACTGCCCCAGCACCGATGGAGGTGACACATGGAACCTCACCCTGCCATCCAGCACTACCTGTCCCCCCACAGCAACAGCCATCAGTGGCAGGAAGCAATTCTTACTCTCCCTGCCACAAGATGCTGCATGCTTGGACCTCACCTCAGTGCCGGAGCCTCTACCCGCCTCCTATTGTCCCCACTTTTGTCCAAAACTGTGTGATTATCAGAGAGAAGAAAGAGGAGGAAGGAGAAAGACAACAGCTAGACAGCGTTTTCCTGGAACCTCACACTCTGTAATCAATCCCTCCCACACTGAGAACAACTATCCTCAGCAGTGTTTTTACACATTTATAATAAGCCAGGCAGTGGTTTTTGTACATTATAATAAGCCATGGCTCAGGCAGTGACTACTCGCAGAGTCAGGAGCACCTTTGTTTTGCATGCCCTCGGGCCCTTCAGTAGTAAAATATAACTGCTGCTATTAAGCTAAAACTCGGGTCTCTGAGACTCACAGGTGACAGGCTGCACTCACTGGGTGAAGCATCACCATGGCACACAAAACAAGAACACGATTTCCATATAACTGGAGGTGAGAAGCAGAGGGTTTGCAAAGCAGATGAGGAATAAAGGCCGAGATCCTGCAGTGGCTGTACACGACAGCACCATCAACACCGAGAACACAATAGCCCCTTCCAACAAGGGGCACGAAACCCACTCCTCGGCTTTTGGGGGCGTCTGTGCACGGGGCGGGACAGGCGCAGCGAAACAAGGAGGCGCCGAGTGCCTCGGGCACAAGGGCCCG